ATATTGAAAAAGGGTATATACTTTGTGAGAAATTATTTATTTTATCTATTAGAGAAAATAAAAAATTTATCAATTTTCACTTTATGAACCACGAATGGGAATTAAATGTGTGAGCTGTTCAGGAAGGCTCCCTGGCAGTTTGTTTTGACTTGACTCTGCTTAAAAGATCAATGGTTTTGTATAGAGAAGTCATTAGGCGCAGTGATCTAATCTTTGTTGGCATCTCAATGACGTTAATTTGCCTGTTTTTTTTTTATCTTGTGACTAAACGATTATTTAATATTCGATATAAACATCATTAAGCTTCCGACCGTAAACGTAATTGCTCTGACAAACGCCTTGCGGTCGTGCGCTATCGCTAACCGGCGTTTCGAGTTTTTTAAATTACACGGCGTTCGGTATCTCGATAACAGAATGGGCTCAAGGCTACTGGGATCTCTTAAGACCACGACCCGAAAGTGAAACAGACAATAAGTCGAATTTGAAATGTGCTGTATATAGTAGGCAACGATTTGGAGAGCATAGATAAAGGCGTCTATGCATTGCGTCTGATCCAGGACTTTTCCGGGAAGAGTTACTCGCTCTTGCTAGTGCTCACGAAGCTACCGTTACTCTTCAGGTCTACAAAGAGGCGCGTCGAGGGCTCGAGGTCGATATTTCTCATCAATTCATCGAGAGTCCGCGAGCAAGCCTATGCAATCAGTGACCTTCCCATACGATTTTTACATTCATCGCTCCGAACACTGAGTGTAGCGTATGCCAGTCGATTATATAATCGACCGAGCCGGTCTCCATCTCAACACAGTATATATATATTCAAGTTTTCTGAACAACACCATTAGCGAGCCTGTGCGGTACCCCGCCGTGGCCTGGCTTAAGGCTGCGACTCAGGTCAGCGCTGTTAACAGCGCACGAGTACCTACCTGATACCGAGTACCTCTGTTAATTGCTCCGCATATGAAGACGGGTTCAATAGCATTCTTCGAAAACCCTTGTCGCATTGTAGAGTAAATAGCTCAAGTATATTTTCGAGGGAGCCAGACACATCTAGATATGTCCTCGCCTCACCCGCCTACCATTGATATTACGGATTGTTTCACAGGGACTTAGAAAATAATTAGAAATGTTCTGCAAATTCTAGTTTGAAGCGTAGTACAAATAGAAGTTGATGTTTATAACTGTCAAAGATAGCTACTCGTTCCTGATGATGTAAGCGTCAGTAAGAAAGCATCGTTTCGAAAAGGATATACGCAAATATGTTAACTATAGTACACTATACAATAGTCGTACACTATAAAATAGTCGATGTTCATGCACTTCAACGTAATAGTGAGCTTTTCTGAGGGCCAGTAAGGTAAAGACACTAGAAGTAAAGTTGAGACGGTTTATCGTGTTAAAGGTTGTGCCCTAAGCATTTACTTTGCCACCTGTTAGATATGATAGGTGCAGATATTTTTGAGAAAGGATAACATCAAAAGACAATACAGATTGATTTATTATTACACTAGCGCGATAGATTTAGATTATTCATTTTTACTATTATTAGCAATGGACCTGCATAATGATCCAGTCAGATCAAATTGTAACTCATGCCTCATAGAGCTGGTTAGAAGGAGGTAAGTGTCGATACCATTAATGGTCACTTTTATTCATCCTTTGTGCCCTGTGAGAAAATAACGATAAAGCATTAACAACAAACGCAAGCAAAAGCAGTCATATCAATCGTGGTTCAGTTGAAATATGGGGTCAAATTATAGTAGCACTAGTATAAGATAAAACATCTGATTATAAAGAAATTGACGTTTTTTTTTCCAACGTGCGTAAATGTCTTTTGGTATAATAGTAGTAACTATGAACTTTTTTTTCCCATCAACAATCCAGTCAGCTTCTTGTCTAGCTCGTCTACCCATTGCTCGAATCCAGCCATCGTGTACCATTATATGACCTTAGTTTGCCTTTTTTTCCTGCTACATTATTCGACATTGTGGAACGGAAGTACATAGAATGGTAATGCAAGTTAAGGAACTTGAGCTCTTTTTTGTCCGCGTTATTTTCTTCACTTAGTCAGGAAGAGTTTTTATTTGCTGACGTTGATGAGCAGATTTTTAAGTAGTTTGTTAAGTAGAAGTAACAGAGTCGAAGGGCTTGAACATAGCTCCCGATCATGTATTAGGAGGCAACAAAAAGAAACTATTGCTTGGGTAGAAAATGTTTATTGTGTATTATTAAGACTAGTAGCTTTACGCTTGGTGTCGCTCGTTATTAGAATGAGGCAAAGGAGACAGATCTTTCTGCTGAGCTGGCAATCTCTGCGGGCAACACTGTGCAGAGACTGTACCAACGCCGGTGGAATAGTTTATTCGTACTACCGTAATCTAAGAGGAAATAGACTGGTAAATTAATTTACTCTCCCAATAGCTCGTGTTGCTCTCAGCGGGGTGTCACTACCGTCCCAGATGTGCAGACTGTTAGCAGGCAAATTGTAGGACTCTGTATGGAATTGTCTTACTTGTGGTCCAACTTCATGTTCCTTACAACGTTGTGTCGAGCTTCTTAGAGGTCTATATTGATCATTGTAGGCCCTTTTTATCGGAGCCTAGGATGTTTGACCATGGTGTAACGGTTTTCTCAACCGATAGCTATCGATTTTGAATACCCTTGCGCCAACTCTTTATTTAAATGCAGTACTGATAGCTATTACTTATCCTTGTCTTGGGACTATAAGCCTATATAATCTTCTTTTTTAATTTTGACCCACTAGCGCCATATGTTATATTCACAATACGATGAATTGTCTAGAAAATAGAACATTATTTCTGTGGTCTAGGGGCTTCATTTAGATATAGGACGATGTACGCTCGAACGGAGACTGCTGTCCTGTCATGTTTCAAAATTCCTAGGTAGAATAATACTAGTTTGTTTGCATTAATGCGGAGCACTTATTCTGGTTCAAGAGAATCTCATAGAAGGTCGGCATCGAAGTAAATAGATATAAAAAAGTATCCTGGGAGTAGCATAGTCAAGTTTGATTTATTTCATTTTGGAAAACCGAAAGTCAGGCTAGGAAGAGGCCTCTGTGTGTGAAATCTTGCGCCCTATGGATACATGTCGCTTAGGTGAAATGTTCAGTAACATATTGTTGTTTGAGTATTATTGCAAAGGAGAAGTGACGATCGGAGGACCGAAGTAACTAACTATTGGGGACGCCGCGAAATGCCAGTAATAATTAGGTATGACATAAGCGGAATCAAATCCTTGAATGTTGTCGCTGATATCGCTGCTAGATAACTGAGCAAATGTATTTGACGGACGGAGCAAGGAATGGCATCAAGCTTTTAATGTACCCGCTACTTCAACTCGAAACCCAAAAGGGTGTGCTAGGCTTAGTGGCGCTTTAGTATGTCGAGCAAAGGAGGCTTCTAGAAGGACGTGCCTTTTACTAGAAAACGTATGAATTAGAGGTCCTAAGTGAAATTCCTAGGGTTTGCTGAAGTGTATACGCGTTTAAATAATTGACTCATGTTTTTCATACTTCTAATTAATATTTTTTATTAAAAAATTATGTATTATTTATACATTCATATCATTATGAATTTCACATCAGGTGAGCAGCTTGTCGTGTAAATCCCTGTTGAGCAGTTCTGTGCGGATGGTACTTAAGAAGTTTACCACCGCCATATTACGTACCCTTTTTCAGTTTCTGATTAATGAGGTTATGAATAGCTGTATTGAGATCCCCTTGATCGTTGCGTAGGATATTGTACATAGATATATAGCCTGTACAACTATAAGACACTTGTTTCTACCATAGCTCGCATGTTGTATACATACACATGTTCATGCATATAGGCGATTAAAAGTACATAACAATTATGTGTATACGAGTGTGACCTCATTCGATTGTAATTTAGAAATAACCCTTCGACCCGTAATTTAGAAAAATAGCTTTTCGTTATCAACATTGTGAAAATATAGAAGCTGTGGAAACGGAATTATAGATTCAGGTCTCTTTTTACAATTGTATAAGGTTTTATAGTAGGAATTGCAATTCAATTATAAGATAGTCGTTTGTATGATCTATCTTATCATATGTGAAGCTACGCTTATTATGCATCAACCGCCCGCTCTTCTTTATCTATGTGACACGGGGTGGAAAAGCTGCAAACGTTAGACGCCAAATCAGCGATTTCGTCCGACCGTTATCCCTGATTATTTCCGTCTGTAAAACAGGCCTGAAAGGTTACTAACAAGATTAAATTTTGAAGCCATATAAATTAATCATCTTAAACTACCAATAACGAATTTTTGGGGAGCTTGTAAACAACGAGCAGACAAAGGCAAAACACGCAATTCTTCTCAAAATTGCCATCTAATTCTAAACCAAGTACAGGTGAAAAAATTGGAAAAGTATTTATACGATACGAACATATTCAGGAGAACATAACGTATAGGTAAGGAAAAACGGAGAGCAATCGACGGTCGCGGAAAACGGTACGAAAAACCTGTCAAATGAACACAATGAGTGTAATATTAGTGGATAGGTGAGGGAAGTATTATCATCATTAGAATATGGTGCCACACCTAATGGTGGCCACCTTGCCATTTTTTTTCTATGCAAAGCTTCACTCGCTTCTACGTTTACAAACCTATCATGTACGTACTTCTCTCGTTCACGCGGTCTACTTCGAATCTCGAAATAAACGACACAAACAAAATCCATAAGGGTAGTGTTTAAACGGCCAACAAAAGGCATCATTGGCATAGCTGGAGACGACTGCGTACTTACTTGAGCCCAGAATCAGAAATACGGTTCTCGTGACCACACGCACACTTATTGTCACCACGAATTAATAACACGCGTAGAATTTTGTTTATAGACATTTGGATTTAATAAAACAGGCGTATAATTGGATCTTTTTTTGAGTAGCTTGTGACATAACTATCATCGACTGCAACATGGTCATATAGAAAGTATGGTTTCTACCTTTCAAATACGATCGATCATCCTGGCTTTGGACATATTTAGTGTGGATAAATGTGCATGTACCGGTTAACATAATAATTTCTAATAATCACCTATGCTTGTCTGCTATAGGAAAGGTTACCCGTAAGAGCTGACGTGAATTAAAGTGATTGTAAAAATTGCAAGTAAAGGTGCGATACGCATTTCCTAAAACGTTTATAACAGGTGGTGGCAACCTCTAAGGCACTTATTTGGTGGTTAACGACGACCATAAGGTATTGCATTGTTTCCCAGAAGGGGCAAAATTAACGGCAAACTTTGCATGATTTGTCCGGCAGGTAGGGCAAAGTTAAGATGGCGAGTGCTACCTGTCAACACGCGTTTGCAGAACCAGTGGACAAACTGCTTGCGAAAACACTTCAGGCGAAACCCTTACCTGAAGCTCTAAAAAAGCATCATTCTTCTTATCGGTAAACTTGTTGTTGAATATCACATTGAGCACTTAAGTTACGATTCGAGATTAGCTTTCATGCTCTTCTTGCCCAATGAACGTACTACATAGCAGTACGGCATTGGCTAAAATATACTATCCTTTTTCGCCTAAGAAAAACGCAGCTTTTCAAGCGAATTCTGGTAGAAATTTACGAATTGTCTGTAATTATTTATGGTCTTATCCTGTCTCTCAGTTAGTACACTTTCTAGGAAACCTCAGCTCTTACGTAGAAACACTCGTCCAGCTAGCTTGTGAAACCTTCTTTTTTGTGAAATGTTCAGTTACGAAATTCATCTAAAGATAGAAAAATGTGGAATTGTTCGCACGAGGTCTGTAAAATACGGTGGATATAAAGGAACGTCTCACACAAGCTCTTTCGAGATAATATAAACAGCCTTGACCATGCGAAACCGTGTTTTCTTGTTCTCTGCATTCAATTTCTGGTACCCAAGTCTCTAGCGCTTGACAAAATCGAATAGATGCCTGAACGTTCAAAGCCTATCTCATCTGCTGATTCGCTAGTAGTTTGCCATCTAAGGTTCTCATCACCCTTGGCCGGCAGACCGAAGCGAAGCGCATCCTACAGGTTCAAGATGCCATTTCTTAACTTGATAAAGGACCTTTGAGCAGCCACCTGTCACAGAGCATAGTGCAGAGCACAAACATTGCGTGCTGCTCTGGCATTTTTGATTTCAGCAAATAAAGAGATGAAATGGGTGTCAATTATACTATCCATCTTTCGAAACTGTGCTCGAAATAATTCCGTTTATCGTAGAATGAAGTTGCAACAAATTTAGAGAGAAAGGAGAGCACCTTAAAGTGCTATACAAATTTCCAATTTTCATATCTCTTTTTACTTCACCGAAAGGGTAAGTAAATCTGTTTTTATTATATTACGAAAACATAGTTTATTATAGCACGGTATGAAATAGGTAAGGGTCCTTACACTACCCAGCGTCAAATCGCTGGTAAATGAAGACTGTAGCCTAAGTAATCTGCTTCAGTTTGGCATCCATACGTTTGCAGCAAATGCTTTCAAAAATCTATTTCAGAATATCTAAATGCAAATCTTTCACCCAAAGTTTTCAAAGAGCTATTCACTTGTCAAGAGAAAGTGAATGTATAGCGCAAATTACTATTCAGATAGGTTCCGTGCCTCGGAAGACACTATCACAGATAGAGCAGAGCGAACCTCTGCCCCTGCCTATGATTGTTTGAGAGCTCGCAAGTCATCCTTTTTTCGAAAAGAATCTTTTCGTAGCGGCGTTTTTTAATCATAGGGGTTTATGCACCGGATTTTCCTAAAATTCTCTACTCGTCTTTGCTTACTGATCTTTGTTGAAAAGGTTTTTATTCTACCCTAACAACTTCAGAATGCCCTGAGCCTTCTTGCGAACAAGCAACAAGCGACTTGCCCGCTGGCAGGCTCATATCTCTTGGATGAATCTCTGAAAACTGAGCTAACAGTTACAAAACAAAACTCGATTGCTTCTCCAGTCACTTTAATTGCTCAGACCAATTACTTTGTTCAAGTGCTTCGGAAGTTGTGGATAAGTAAGGCCTTGCCGATCTGCGAAATCTGGAAGAAGCACTCATTAAGGACCTCAACAGCTGCCTTGTATGGTCCTATACCGAACAGTTCTGTTGAGAGCGGGTCAGCCTTCCAAAGCAGGCGCGCCGCTCCTTGATGATTCTTAGGGGCAACAAAAATTCTTAAAGGAGGAAATTTAGCGAAGGATTAAAATCTCGTCAAAAATCACTCCATATATGGCCATTATCTCGTGTTTAGAGAGCGTCAATAGGTTATTGCTTTTGTTCAGATAAGTTGGATACCTTTTTCATCAGAGGACTAGTATGTTATCCCGTAGGTTTTAGCATGATGCAGGAATGGCCTCGAATGTTACTGGATTGCTAAGACACCAAACCGTGAATAATGTCATTGCGTCTGCTCGACCTGACGATTGGATTGGATTGGTAGTGGCACACACACAGTAAAGACCTAAATGTTTCATTTTACGTTTGGTACTAGCGTTCAGAAAAACAGAATATCTGCAGAAATGAAAACTTCTTCGGGAAGCACAATGTCTGCTTGCAAATTCGCTGGCAGGTGTTGCGTTGCTTATTGTGATTTCGAACGGCGTTTAAGATTGCCTGCGACCAATGTCTTTGCTGGGAACGTCAAAATCTAGCCAAAAATACTAATAAAGAGGAAGTTCAGGAAAGCTTTTACGCAGCACATATGTCTCTCTTATTGACTACTGGTAAATAACATCTACATCCGGAAAACATCACTTACCAATAGACTTCCTGATTTAATCAGTCCATTTCACGCTGAACACTGTATATGCTTTCTAGCGCATATGTTCTTAGGGGCACGTCGTGGTCTGGGTTTGAACCCCCAGCATAGATAGACGGATGGTTTAATTCGGGAACCAACCGTCTGACGGAATAATGTCTCACGGCGCTACCGCCTGAAACAAGCGCTAAAATATACGATATTGTTTATTCGTGATATATTGACAAAACGTTGCCTGATTGTTGCAATACAGATTGCATTATTATTACATTATTATATTAATATTGCAGAATTATAACCAAATTTAAATAAGGATCTTTTTTTAATACTATTAAAGGATTCGTAGTGAAAAGCATGGGACGTAATTTTGTTAACTTTAAATATCAATTTATATATCGTTATGGTTTATAAGGTAGGAACGTTCAAAATACCAAAAAATAAAAAAATATTCTAAAATATTAAATATTATTGAAAAAATAAATTACGGAAAGAAATATTAGTGCATGTGAACAAAAACTGATTTTAACTGGTACTCCTGATTTTTCGGATCTCCGGAAAATTTAGATTAGAAGGTAAAGATGACGATGGTGACATCGAGATGATAGACGTTTCCGGTCAGTCCGTCACTGACCACCAGGCGGGTGAATCTTTTAAAAAGCTACGAGAACCGGCTCATTTGTATGGGTAAGCTTGTTGTTGTTGGACGCTGACTGATTATTTTAATCATTTAGGTATCGAGCGATTTACAAAAAGACATGGTAAGCACGACCGTGTTATTAGTTAGCGTGCCGGAACCAGCGACAATATTCAAAGCAAGCTATATGAGATGCAAGAATGTATCAGTTAGCTATCTCATAGCTTATACAAGCGAAAAAAAAAAAAAAAAACAGACAATCAAAGTTTCTTGTTTGTATGAACGGCATATTTTGCATGAACAGTTCCTGCTGGGACAAATCTGGCACAAATTTTTGGCCATTGTGATATAACTGATTACGTTGTATTTGATAGAAGATAACACAAAGTTCCTATTCAAATATGGCTTCATCGGAAGCCAAGTTAGCGTCTTGAGGCTATTTTTGAAATATCAATGTATCTATAGAACTGTGCATTAACTGAGTATTAGCGATGAATTATCGAAAATAACCTAAAAGAGTTACATTTTGTCTTGTTGTTTGTTAGTGGAGGCCTTTAAAAATATAGAATAGACCAATTTCAGAAATATGTTTCTTCATATTTGAAAGTTTCAACATTTAGGACAGGCATACAGAGTTAAAGTATATTTACCTCCAAAAAAAAATTCTCGTATTCGTATTTTTTTTCGAGGTTGTACGTCATTTCTTATATACTCCCTGTATCCTCATCAAGCACAATGCAACCGTCTGCCTACGCGTCTTTAATGATTGTACTACCCCTAATTATTTCCTAGCTTCAGCTGCGAAGAACAAACTAATTATCCTCACTAGGACATGCGTTACTGTAAAATGTACATTTAACAAGGGAGCCTTTTCAAGGTTCGTGGATCGCTGAAATAGTCAAATCTGCACATAATGGAAAGGCGACGGTAGGACAGGGGTACTCATGCCTAGGCACTTGAAGTCCAGGAATATAGCTTCATTCTTGATTTGTGTAGCTAAATAAAAACTGATTCAATATTTATTATATTCATTATGTTAGCTGCATATTTATTATATAAGCTGAATATTCTAATGATTCTTAAGAGTTGCAGGCAGCGATCTTGATGTGTGTATAAATTTTCTTAAGCTAGTTAAGGTGCACGCAGAAACCGCTGGACCAAGGTGCACCTTGTATTGTACCGAGCTTGAATATCACTTGAAAATCTACGATGGGCTCGTCGAACGCAGCTTTTTGCTTCCAAACGATTGCTACTTCCCATATAGTAGAGACTTCAAGAGTCGTGTGAAGACCTATCTGGAACCCACTGTTAAACTTAAGTTTCTTAAAATGATAGGCCTCCATTTTTCACATGGATACCGACTGGCCATTTCACACAACCAGCAAAGAGTTGAGGTTAGCATCGACGGGACGAACCAAGACGATAGTATTGAGTGAGTATATAACAGTTAGTTCATCTTGTGGTAACCGTCTTCGCTTAAGTTATAATTCCGTTTCAAGTGGTGGAGGGGCAACTCAGGAGGCTCCGTTCCAGACAAGAAACCGTTTCAAGTCGTTTAAAAAGTGCTAGTTATTCAAACAGTTGTAACGAAGTCAAAGGTCACATATTTACGCAGATCGACTTCAGTCTCTAAAAAGAAAATAAGAAAACGGAATTTCAAATTGAATAACGCTATACTAATACTGTAATTATAAAATGACGACATTAGTACAGGTTTATTGATCAACTATTGTAGTAGTCAACGTTTCCCAAGATATTTAACTTTAGAGATGAGTCTTTCCATTTCCTGTCATGATGGATCTCGATATTGCTGTTTCAAGACTCCGCCAAGACTGGGAACTTAATGCGAGCGATCAGAGCAGAAAAAGAGGTTACTATGTTCATTACTTTTTTTATTACTCAGGCGTGTAGTGGTAGGTCAAAATGTTTACATTGGGATTCGAAGCTGGGTAATTCCACACATCTTTGAGATTAGTAGCCAAGTAAGTTATCAGTGGGTTATCGAAGCACAACAGTTCGGTAGGGCAACGCATTCATGTTAACAAAAATAACATTTGGAGGGTTCGGGGATCAGCTATGCGATCGCGAAGTGGTCATGCTTAGATTGAGTACGGTCTTTCTTAGCGTACGGTGCAGATTGTGCAATTCTCAAACGGAAATTCCTTTCGTAACTTGACCAAAAATTTGACGCGTCATTGATTTTTGACTACTACTTTTGACCGCACTAACAACACTCAAGTGTCTCTGTAAAAAAATAAGTTCTCAGTTGATGCTTATTGAGCCGCCACTCTTGCGCAATACGAATAACGTTACAATAATTACATGCCCTATTAGTAATTAATTGATCCCCATTACTGCTTGTCAAAGAACAATATAGAAAATGAGTGAAAGCTACATACTTGCCGAGCTAAGCATTAAAAGATTAATTCTTCATATTTCAGCGCGCCCACAACGACACCCTTTAGGTTATCTCCCTTTGAGAACCTGTGGTGTGTTTTATACGAAGAAAACAGGTACACACACAAATTAGAGTGGATTGGGTCGGCCATAAAGAACTTCGAAGATTTGCTTTCCAAACAGACGTTCATGATACATTTTGAGACAGGCATCAGCCTGATATTTAAGACAGAGATTTGTACCGAACATATAACCTATGGCCCAGGAATTCTCTTCAGGCCACTGAAAAAATTAAATCGGCACAGCCAAGGAATCTAGTAGGATTATTAGGTAGGTCTACGTCTACTGTTTTCTAATCCATATATATAGTAGATGCGATTTCAATACTCCCATAAAAGCCAACTATATGGTAATTAAACTTACTGTTAGGCAAACCGCTTTCATAACATACATTAAGTAAATCTTAAATAAATCTAATGCAAAGCTTAGAACTGAGGCTTTTCTGTAAACGAAAGGGTCATCGTCATACTAGTTTTGCTCCAGATTTCTCATATCTTTAATTATGCTTACATATACTTTAACTTAGAAAAAGATTAAGCCACTTATTGGCATCAAAGGATTATTAAACATAGCTCACTCAGCAGACTGGTTTGCGACAGCCTTGTGTTTCTGCAGTGGAAAAAAAAGCTCATTGGCAGTGCCCAGAGTTAATGTCTAACATAGATAGTGCTTTATTTGTTGAATTAGACTGGCTAAGATAGATGAAAAAATTTGACAAAGGTGGTGTGAAGTTGGTTTTGATGGCGGGCTATCGTTTACTGAAGTTAGCCCCACTAACTACTGAGAGAATAATAATTATCGTATTGTGGGTCTAGGATCGTCTAGTGGCTTAGAGATTTCTTGTAGTTTTCGAACAGCGATGGAATGTGTCTAAGGTAGCTAATTAAGTTGACAGGGATTACTTTGATTATGTGTTAGTAATTACATTCCATCGGTTCATTAATATCCGGCTATATGGGATGGCTATCGTTAACGACCTTAGTAGGAATCCAATATATAAGTAATCAGTCCAATAATAGAGTTAAAGTTGTAACTGAAATGCTGCAGATTTTTGACAGGACGTCTCGTACAGCCGTACCATGTAGACGACACCACACGATCCGTAATTCAGACATTGAGTTTCTGAAAAACGTTCCATACCGTGAAACAGCAAAAACAGTTAACTGACTAAGTAAACTCGGCGTTTAGTTTCACAGGTTACAAGGATGCGCGCTTTAACTTCACACAACACTCGTAGAAGCTGCGTAAAGAAAGGGCCTGCTGTAGCCTGCCTCCATGTTTTTAATAAAAAAAAAAAAATAATAACAGAATTACGTGTGTCGGCATTTTTCGCGCATAGAACCAAAAACTCTAGCTTTCTTAACATCCCGACGAATCGCTATATATTTCATAGGTAGAATAGAAACAAACCCGCGCTGAAGATACACATTCAAACTAGTTCAGCAGTTAAATTATCGCGCGAACTCTGTGAAAAGAGTTACTTCGAAGTGAGTAAGATGAAAAGTCCTATTAATTATCTTCAGATAGAATCGAAGCGACCGAGGGATATTAAATAGATACTTTAGAAACTAACGTGCCCTATCTGCGAATGCTGAGGCGTTCGCCAGGAATTCTTAAATCTTTATCCTGAAACTGCATAAATGTGTTGAAGAAGATGTTAAGCGATAAAAGATTTATTTATTGGGTAGAAGTAGGAAAAGAAGACACTGATCAAGCGTCAACGTGTCGGATGAAAGGATACGTTCGAAATTTATTTTAATCTAGGCAAAGGTAGACAAATAGGTAACAACTGATTTTTCTGAATGTCGCTACTGCGGTGTAAATGAAGCTTATTTACCATAGAAGAACAATAAGCAAAATCGGCCACTATGTTCATAATGTAATACTCGCCTATAAGACTCGAATAATATACCGAACTACAAAATATCATCTATACGGAAAGCTGTCAGTCGGCTCTTCAGTTGTCAACGGAGTATAGCTGAACACTTCGGGCTGTGCCGTGTGAAGGCTCGCGTTCACATCTTCTTGGCGTCTTCCCTTTCGCCGTAGTGAAATCAAAGGGCAGATCGTCTGACACTGCTAGCAACGATTCTTGACAGCGTCGATTCGAGAAATTGAACCGTACGTAGGAGAAATTAATCGATGGCATTGTCGAAGATAACGCCCCATCAACTTTATACGGCATTGCACAACATAATTTGTACTCGATTTGTAAATCGTCCGATATGGCACAATAATGTCGAGGGAAAAAGGCAGCAACTGCTTCGTAAATAGAAAGTGTAGAATCAAAATAACGAAGTGTCAGATTGATGTTGCAATGAAAATTTGCGTTAACAATATGAAGACCCATTAATCTGGTGAAGAGTAATCCGGATGGCGCAGCGTTCGACTGAGTAAGCGTATCGCTAGAAACTGTATCTACTAACCGATACATTAACTCGTGAATATTTGCGCGCAGAGTTGACATGACCTTAGCCATAGCTATAAAACACTGAGTGGTTTTTTTAAAATACAAACTAGTTACTGGGACTCAATTTGTAATAACACCACCTGTGTCCGCTCTCTGTGCACATTTACCTACAACTACCCACGCTTCATTGACTCGTTTTAGAGCCGTCTTTGTATTTTTTTAACGTTTAGATCTAAGCTCTAGTTCAATTTGTCAGAAAGTCACTTTGTGCCCTACTGCATCACCTCAGAACTTCGATGTACCTATCTCATTCAGCAAATTCACTGTTTTAGCTCTTCTGGTAAAGAGCTGTTTTACGCCACCGCAGCCTTTGCATAACATCACTACACGTAACATTCAATTATTGTTCTGATCCAGTTGTTTACTAATCGTCCTAATCGAAATTAGTCCTATTGCGAACCTTTGTTGCGATTTGGCCGTCAGTGCTTCTATTGGCAGGACTGTGATTATCTTGCGACCTGTAGGTCGTAAACTTCAAAATACCATGTAAATATTAGCTAGCTTGAGAACGCCGGCATCGCTCAGTGTTTTTGACTGCTGAGCCTGCTTTCGACATTATAGGGAAACCAGATTTGTTTTAAAAATTCGATGAATGAATTACACAAATATTCACTCATTCGCGGAAAACCTTCCAAAGAAGGAATCATTCCCTTAGTTAAAATAAAAATATATATAGGAAACGTCGCACTAACGTGTTTTCTCGTTAAGCCAAAGACATATATAAGAATTGTTTTGGTTCCAATGAGCAATTGGCGTACAGAGCCTATTTTCTCTAGGCTGTAAGGCGTATACCTTCATCGTGCTTTTGCAAACAGTAGTATGCTTCCTACCAGTTATAAACCACCCAAGACATATATATTAACGCTTTAGTATGCTCATCTTATCTACGTTCCTACGTGGTACATGATTTTTCCTTGTCGGATCGCTATTCCATTTCCAGTCATTTAGTAGCAATACATTTAAACATTTTGTACGATATGTTCGTTCGCTATGAAAACCTAGAAGAGTAGATTCTGTCCGTTGTCCTTTTTTTGGGTTATACGTAGTTGACCTTAACCCTGTAACTCAATTGCTCGTGATTACTTAGCTAGCTTTTCTATTATCTAATCTAATTCTGCTATCTACATTTATAAAATAGCGACCAGATTCTGCACTCATCTTTTCTATAGTATTGCAAACGCTAAACGCCCTGCCTACTTAAAGCTGACTTCAATGTAAAACAAGAACCGCAAAGACGTTTTTTTTATTTCGTCAATAATAATATCCGAAAAGTGCAGGAACTTGTTGAGCTGAACCCATTTGCCTACCTGCAAACCTAGAACAGGTTTGCCTTCTAAAAGCATCAACAGGCACCTGAGAGCCGTTCTACTTATTATTTAATCAACACGCAAGGCTTCCACGATCGCGCGTTACAATTTAGTATCTGACTTACTGCGTCTAGATTGCAGAAGCGGTACGCCTTCATTAACTTTTTCCTTTCTAGGGGCCACGCCTAATTCGAATATCTCATTGATCTTTCGAGCCGCGCAGGTTCTCACTCCCTTGTCCCAGTGATGGCGTAAAAAGTAGCGTGTTTGCCAGTTAACCTAAACGACACGTGGTGGTCTGGATTCAGATCTCAGAGCAGACACGCTTCGTTTTGTGCTAGGAGGTGAAGCTCCCGGATATAATTCCTAACGGGGTACCAGATATAAAACTCGAAGCATTCAAGTTCTTCGTAAAGGATCGGTTGCAGCCGTTTTGGGTTTGAGTCCATTTTGGGCCTCGGTGAAAGTTTCCGTAGCTCTAACAAGATTAATATGTAAGTAATAGGTAATTTTAGGTACTATATCGGCAATGTGTTTTTAAAGCTGTCCGTAACGGTTCAGTGAACACATGTTTACGACACCTAAAGAATATGTGGGGTAGTTCATGTCTGAAGCCGAACGCAGACACATTTCGCTTGGTGCAGTCCGTAAAGACAAATGGACCTATTCATATTTGTGATACACTTCCATTTACCGGTAGGTAAAATAAATGAAATGACATTCCAGTTTACCTCATGGAAATATATGGTATATTACGGAACTTTTTTCTCGGTACAGCCTCACAGAACACCGAACGATTCTTCAGCAAGCTTGAATTCGTTCGATGTCATCTCCGATGATGAACTGAGCCCTTACATAGCTTTTACGAGTTTCTTCTCGTTAAGTAATATTTATTGTAATTGTTTTCAGGATGGCGAGGCGTGACTCTGAAATTATTACGTCCTTTGTTAAAACACTCTTTGCACTGCCTGCGCGAAAAAAGTCTCAATATCACATACAGTTCACGAAACTTGAAAAGCTAAGAAATAGCCACATGAAGATTTTAAAACTTATGGATGAAGAAACACGACGTGTAAGAACTCCCGAATTCATAAAAGACGTAAAGTACCATCTTCTGGGCAATCTGGGACCAATTGTCTACATCACATTTGTTGCAGCCTTCAATATTCATTTTGAGCTGAGATACAACTTAGTATTATTACACAACTGCCAACGGTATGAACTGGTTATAGATTTAAGGTAGGCTTAAGGAAAGATACATTTAATCTTAGTGGTACTAACTGTAGATAGAAATTTCAAGGCAGGAACACTTGTCTCTTTCCTTGTCAGCAAATGGAATGATCCATTTGTAAGATACTTTGTAGTACATGTAATTACATCAGTTGTTTCTGCGATATTGAAAACACACTTACGGAAGGTGGAAGATCGGCTTACGTCTAGGGACAGCCGCCCTAGGTCGGCTGGTTTCTCATATGGTATCTGTATCATTCTCACTCCATCGTTCACATATCACTAGCAATAAAAATTATTCTTATTTCAGGACTCGACAGGCACTCGGCCCAAAGCTGGACCCATTGAAATTGTCCCCACTTGAGAAGGTGGTGTGCATCCTGTACTACGAGGAGAGGACCAGTAGGTTAATGCTGAGTGATGACATTGTCATAGAGGCTGAACGTTTACTGAAGGACACCCACCTCATATTAGACTTCCAAGGGAGCGGGGTCGTTATGAAGTTCAAAGTTGAACTTGTACCCGATAGTGAAAGGGAAATAAGTTAGTGTAAATGCTAGGATGATGAAAATATGTTTAGCAGGAGAAGTGTTATGCCCGAAGCGGGGGACCATTCGTGGCTCACGCAGCTGCTACCATTAAACATACTGAGCTAGCTATAATTAATACAACAACTCTTTGCAATATGTCAAATATACATATTGAAATAGAAAAAACGCTCCAGCGTGTCAAATATAAATAAATTCGTGCGATCGCGAGTGATGATCAATCTTCTCTCAAACTGAGTTTACGTATAAAGTTAGAAGTTAGATTCGTTGTTGCTAAATTGAACGTTGTTACCCAGGACTAAAACTTAATCGACTGACGATTTTTGTATGGTAGAACGAGTCTGGTTAATTATGAAGTAAGGTTAGCTAAAGGCCCATCCTCTTGTCTCCTGACACAATGTCCTTAGTGAAAAAAATGCCTTTTAAAGCACTAAGCTAAAGCTCCGCTTAAAAGTAGTTTAGTCATTAACCGCGTTTGGCTTGATTTGATGGCAAACTTAGAAGGTGCCACGCAGAGAACGAGTCACTGGTGCAACTAAATATGAAGAGGCGGTACCTAGGTGCTGATTTGAGTCCGCCATATACATACACATGTGCTGTCAATAAAGTAAGGCGGGAGTAAGAAGTTCGTGTAGTAGAGAAGTTACCGAATACGGATACGAGAAGATGATTTACGAGAGTGGTTTTAAGAACAGGAGTCGTTATTAAGGCTCCTATTTTACCTAGACATTAGTTTTTCGTCGCACAAATCAGTTGTTAAAACGTAAAGATTAAACAACTAAGCAACCAATGTGTTTAAAAATCGTTTTTTTTTTGTTTACCATTCCTTTCGTTCCTATTGAAGTTCTAGTGTCCAGGTGAAGCTATCTCTTTCAAGCACACAACCTTCGTATTGCTTATAGCGACCATCTAGTAACCATCTTATGCCTACCAATTGAAAGCCATGAACACATGCATTCCTGGCAAGGAAAGAATTACTTTATTAGCAATTTTAGTTTGTGTTCGCTAGTCCGCTTACACATAGTCTTCTGAACTTTTCAGTTTCCGTGTTGGAGAAAGACTGCAACCTTCAATAATTGCAACTCAAGTACTCTAGGACACCTGTCTGCACACTATACCACCAAAGCTTTGTTCTTAACCGTCATAATCAATTGCGTAGTTTAGGAGGTGTGGTCCTTAGAGCACTGCCCTGTAACCGTCAGTACATGACACAGTCGATTCTCACGATGGCTACGTACGTCATACGATGCCTTGGGCATTCCAGCACTAACGTAGACAGCGGGCGGCATCTTAAGCTTGATATCGAGCTTCGTATCGAGGTAACTTATGATATAAACCACTACGTTCGATAGAGTACTTCTACGGTATAAATTTTTGAACCGGTTACATACGGGGATGCTTAACGTGCTCGGACTCGTCGAAATTATAAAACACATTTACGATTATGCAATTGTCATCTGTTTCATCGCGTCACGAACCCTTATCCGCGGTTATAAGCGCTGAAAGCGTGATTTGATTATGCATTTAATCGTTGCATCAACGAAAATAATAACTATCTGTTACCGTACGGCCTAGGTTAAACAGCTAGCAAAGAGGCCTAGTTGGCCAACGTTCAGCAATGGAAAACAGACATCGGAAAATGATTATTTCTAATTGTGAAAATCATATTGTTAACTCTATGATTTAAGTTCCCAAAGACAGATTTAGCTTTTAGAGCCAAGAGTGAAAAAAACGTTTATCTACAACAAGAAATTCCCATCGCATACACTAATACTCACTCGATAATATAAAAAAAAAAAAAACATCGAACAACTATTAGTAGGTACATTTTCGTTCGTTTTATTTGAAAACCCTGGCCAGTTTTCTCGATTCTTTATCTGCGTTCTAATTGCGGCGACATGACCACATGACAAAGGAAACGTTCGGTCATCTAATTAGCTCTGTACTAGAGCCATTGATACGAATGATAGGAGTAAAAAGTAAACTACTACGATTCAATTATTAGCCGAACAGGATCATTAGAGGAACAATTAAATCAGTTTTTCAACCGGATAACTTCGAAATGCTGCCTTGCTTATCATTGTTTAACAACTAGGACAAGTAGAATCGAAAATCCAGCCTTAAGCTCAATGCAACGAAAACAGGACAGCTACTCATATTTCCTAGTGTAAAATCTTATACGTGAACGTACATCGTTGCAGTTACGTTAATCTACTCGCCACACACGCGGCAATAATCATAACCAATATATATACCGTTGTTTTACATTTTTAACAAAGTACAAATACTGACGCCTTAGTATTTATTACCAGAGCTGCTCTTAAATTTCGATAGATGCCAATTGGACTGGCAGATTCTAGTTCTCGTAAGGGACAAATGAAAAAGCTCACCTATTTCTTCTCAGGCTTTGCCTAACAGCTTCATTTCTACCCGTAGGGACAGTATCCAATAAAGAAGCAGCTCCCAACAGCGGAGTACAGAAGACAGTTACCTCTGCATACGCACCCTATGATTTGTGTTCTGTTACGCAGTATCATTGCTTCCTTGTAGGATATAAATTAGGTTAAGAACAACGTATATCGGCTGTATTCCTCTTCCAGTAGGTGCTATATGCCTTTTTTCTCCAGTGGTACCGATCAAACAAGGTGTGAAAAGCGTTTGTGATCTGATCTCTATTTACGTTCTTTCAGTGTTAAAGTAGTTCCCATGATGGAGAGATTTAACATGCGTGAGCGAGCAGTGTGTCTTCAGACCGTAAGAAAAGTGGATATGATAGCGTTTTAGCTGAAAATTGAATCCGGAACTTTGTTGCTCTGAGCGCGCTGCTTCTAACTCCCTCGCTGTTGAGCCAGTCAATCATACGACTGACTATAAAAGTCCGCTTTCGGAATCCATCAGCAAGATTTACTCTTTTCTGTCCTTTTTCGTCTGGGTTTTCGGTCGACCGATTCTTGACCCGGATCGAATGGACTCAGCCGTGTTGTGTGGTAAATTCTTAGAAATCGCCTGTGCTCAAGGCGTATATCGTTACCTCTAAATCGCTACAAGACGCCCTGGGACTATTACAATTGACCCAGTTGATTCGTTGTGTTGTTGCCTATCCCCCTTTGGAAGCGCTGTCTCTAGCATTGACTGAAAGAACCAGAATTTTTCTGCTTTTTGTAGTGCGCTACGCAGACAAACGGTGCCCTTTCTTCAATGTTCCTTGCTGCGGTCGTTCAGAACACAGCAATTGCGCACCGAGTAAATCTTCTCTGACTCTGTGGTGGATGGATAACAAAAAGAAACGAACGGATTTTCAAACAAAAAAGTTAAGAAGACTTCCACATCGGAACACGAGCGACAAGCCAAGGCCAAACGGAACATGGTGTTTCAAAGGGATATTGAAACTTTTTCACAGGAGCAAAGAATAATCGAGCAAAAGGTGGCCCCGCGAATTTCTTTAGTGACCACAAGTATGAAACTGCGAATTGAGCAGTACTATCCTCATTAAGTACTGTAGATGGAAGTACGGCGTCCATCCGCTGTGGTCAGTCGTTATTCGAAGCAAAATGAAAACGATTAAAATTACGACAATGTACAAATCTTGTGCAAGGAAAATAATTGTAATAGAAAAAAAAAAAAAAGCTACTACACAATCTTTTCGTTAGTTCTAGTGGAAACAGAGAAATATGAGAAAGGAAGGGGCTAAACACGCTTGTTGGGAGGGTTAACTAATGAAATGTGTTAATCTATCAGAGTTCTGGCTATCCGTCTTTTCAGCTAGCTGTTTTTGTATTAAGACATCAATCGTTGAAATGCTATCAGTAGCAGTAATGGCTTAATATACAATATATATATATACTTCTGCTTATGTATTGATCATTTACACTTGGCCTTTGGCGGTCATCTGTATTAGATGTGTACAAAAACTGCACATCTCATTTCTACACACACCAACAACATTCAGCACGCGCCAGGTCTCACACGTAAAGCCCTGCAAGAATTTAACTCGGAGTTGTTTTCGCATGCGCCGTATTTGCCAGCACTCGCGCTTACGGACGACAGCCTCTCCGACAAATTAGGTACGATTATAACCGTACATTTGACATAAAAGTTCTCCAAGTTTTCCCACGTCAGAGCCGAAATTCGTGACAATGGATAAGTCTACAGACTGAGTGATTGAAAGAAATTACGAAAAGTGTCGGCGAAGATATAATATTGCCGGAATCGGGGTACGACACTGCATTTTTGACAAGTAAAGTAAGTGCAGGAGCCCGTAGATATCGCCGTCATTTCCTGGTATATTTCATAGTTTGTTTCATAATAACCTCCCATTGAAATACCTTCCCTTCTAATCTCAACAACACTGCCTGCATTTATTTAATTTATAACCACCGTTTTTAGCTAAATATTGAAATTACTGTAAATCATATTGGTGAAAACACACTTTAGCAAGTTTGTGGACCCATCCCTCCAAAAGCCGGCACCCCAATTTTCTTTCAGTGAAAAAAAAAAAAAACCGTTCTACTGTCTTAGTCAGCGCAAAATACGCGTGAGCAAATCTCAACAAGAAAATTATCATGTCAGAAGAGACGGCCATACGTAGACTGATAGATAGCAACTAGATTATAAGTTGCTACACGAACGTTCTAGTAATACGGAATCTATTTAGCCAAAAATTTGCGTTGAATCTGATACTACACTGCGCATGATGTTTTAGCGACACATACACCCAGTTCATGGCTGACGGGCTGTCACGGACAACTAATGACCTTGAAAAGTTCCGCTTTTCATTTGTATGCCGACATTCATTCTTCCAGAGACGAGGAAATCCCGTTTTTCCTAGTTTGAGGTAGAAACCGTGTCGGTGAACATGCCTCTTCTGTTGTTCAATACTTAGTTAATGTCCGGATCTTGCGATGGCTAGTGACGAGTCAAGGTGCTGCGACCTTCGAGATCATCTGAGGCATCGACGTGAAGAACTCTGTACCCGGCATCTTCTGCGAGGAATCATTATAAATACGGACAATAGTTGACTTCAGACTGATTTCAATTGGTACCCTTTCAGGCTGTTGTACCTGCCCGTACTTAACGGAACCATGATCTTTAGTTTCGTGTTTTTGTAGGACCACAGCCGGCGTTACTTGGCTTCGTAGAAACCGGTAATAAATAGTGTGGGAAATTTGCAAAATGCTTTAGCGGTACTCAAACGTATATATCAAACTGCTGAAGGCTTTTTTCATTAGTTGCTCATTCTTTAGGCATTCAAACAAAGTTTACCAGCATTTTAACGAGAGATGTGTTTTCCGTGATCCTAAGTCTGGTATTTAAGGTCAACTGGAAAGAAAAGCTATAATATATAGGTATTTCCTATTCGTTCCATTTCAACGTATTTAAGAGCTCCTTTTGAAAAAGTGCACTGTAATTATAATTATGAGTCCATGAGCTGATAGCTCAAAAGCTCCATAACCCAGTATATTGTACATTCTGGTGTTTTTTTTTTTTAAGGAGAATGTCAGTAAAACGGAGGAGGGTACGTGTTCTACAACTCGAAATGAAGAAATCAATAAGCTGCGCTCAGGAACAACACAAAATCAGTTTACGTGTCGTGTCAAGGAACATACAAGTCATGTCACAATCCACCTCGAGCCGTGTCTGTTAGCAGTTATCTGATGTAGTTAGCTATAAATAAAGGCCAGCTGGCTTAGCTCTAGCCTGCGTGTCAACGAACGGAAATTAGTGTGGCTCCTTTACTATTGCGGCTTTCCCTGCTCCATCGAATCCTTAGTTAGGGGGCGAGATGCGTGCGTGAGTGGCGGTGGCGGTGGCGGCGAACGGCAGCAGTTAGGGACAGGTGGCCGGTCTGTGCAGGTGGTCGTCCGCTCGAAGGGATGTAATCGACGGTCGAAGGGAAAACTGTGCTGGGCGGCTGATATTGCCCGCTATCTGCACTAGTTCCTCTCCGAAGCTCTTCCTTTCTACTTATTACGGCCATACCACCCACTGCCGCTGCTGCCGTCTCCTGCTCCGACTTCACTCCGCCTCTAGGATATTCCATAGTAGCGGTAATTAATAATGGGCTCGCGTGCCAGCAAAGGATAGGTTGTCGGAGCATCCGTTAGAGAGGCCTGCTGGCTATCGCGCCAAAGCCATCTTCCACAATTTATAACACCTTCACCAGGAATAGCGGTGAAGAGGGAATAAGAGAGAACTGGCTAACAGGACTAGCTTAGAAGGGCGGGCGGTCAACCAAACGTTCGCTCGAATCCAGGAACAACGGCGGGGAACTCCTGAGTGCCCATACCGCTTCCGCCGTTCACAGCGATGCGTTTAGTCCATCCTATCTTAAGTGGGATAGAATGCCAGGCGGGTGCTCTTTGCCCACTTGACGCTACTCTGCTATGCAAGCTTACGCTAAATAGATGGACCTATCTTATATAGCTAGTAGTTCATGTAACAGCTGTGCACAACAGTCTACACTATAAGGAGTGAATTGTGCTGCCAGTCCAAGAGTTAATTGTTGACAGCGTTAAACTAGTAATAACAAAGGATGACAAGTTATTTAAAAACTAACTTGATATTATGTTAATATATTTTACATTTAATATAATATATCAGTCAGTAGAATAAAGACGTGTGTGAGGCAGTTACGGCAGACTTGACATTTCTTAGCTGATCTGATCATGATTAATCATATTATGTGTGTTGAGATAGTCAAATTTTTTTCCATCTCTGCCATACTAACCAAATATCTCATTCTTCAGACGCGATACACAGTCACAATCTATTCTGTTGTTGTACTTTGGTTTCTATCCGAGCTTGTGTTGACCATCTTTAAAGAAAAAAAACAATTTTGAATATTGTTTATAATAGTCAGAATCGTGTCTAGACCGTCCACAATAGCTGAGAGGAATACTTCGTATCTTGGACTTCTGTTAACCATACGACATATTTGAGGAAATCATTTTAGGGTGAGCTGGCAGCAAATATCTTGAAATCCAGTCAATACTTACGTGTGCCTTTATGAAGTTCGAAATGTTAACAAACGTATTCCTTAAGTTTTACGTCCAAAGTCGGCTTTAAACATCAGGCACAGAAATATTTCGATATGATTCTCGCTCAAGAGACGTTATTCCAACATTTCCGTATCCATATGTTATGCAGACGTATTTATGGATGTATTACAATTACATTAGAACACTAGATCTTTTATGCAACCAGATCAATACGCTTGAGACATTAGATAATATATTATAGATGAGGAGAGTCAATCAACATACTGACACTAACAGTCGCTCTATGTTCTTATGTTCTCCCGTATTTGTGCAGTCATTTGATGCACATCTTTCATGCGGCACACGTCAATCTATACGTGCGTTTGGGAGCGTTTGACTGCATAGCCTACTTGATTCATCGGTATAATGTTGATCTTTTTCTACAGGAAGGCATTTTCTTGCAGCATTGACGAGGTGGTGGCTAAGGGAGGTCTGGTTGGAGACGCGACGTCGTTTCTGCGAATCAGCGTTGCTGCCCAGTTTCCTAATGCATCCGAGGAGATGCACTTATCCTCAATAATGTCTCTACATTTTATCTATCCAATTCGCTCAGCGCTCTATGCGTCGCTATTTGTGATGTCTACTCATCATTCATCCATAGTCAATGACGAACCGATCTCGGTGCACGAACGAAATGCACGTCGGCTCCTTTCCGAACTGCGCACACAAACATACGCTCAAATCAGCATCAGCTCATACAACCGCTGGCAAAATCAGTTGGGCGACCCAGACACTGAACATTTGTCCAACCTACTTCTGTGCCTATTCCCGACAGCAGCTATGGAAATGAGATGCCAGCGAAAGAGCTTAACAAAACGTTGTAGTTCCTTTTTTCCAGCTCTTCTAGCCACTCTATTGGACAGCTCGCTGCAAGCCATCGCACGTAACGACGAAAAATAGAAAAACATTATTTTTAGAGATATAAATACGTGCAGTGTTTATTACGATACCTACATTAAGAACTAACAATAGCATCCCGCCTATACAGTATTCTACATTCCCCTTAACCGCTGTTTTCAAGTACACACAGCCTCTAGACTAAAAAAAAAAAAAAAAAAAAAGGATTTTTCAGTGAACAGATTTTATCTTGCGGAAGATATCTCGGAAAATATCCTTGTGAAAGGTACGTGCTCTCAAAATAAAACTTTGTTACATAAAGTTCTATAATCTGTTAATCGATTCAACTGGGTCTAAAAAATGAGCGGAGGGAAGCATGTGGGTTGATTAAGCTGTGTCTTTTAAAGGCCCCGAGATAAGCATAAATTATTTATATTTACATTCCAACAATAAATACTCATTTTACGAAGTGTGCATAATGATACCCAGAAAACTACTCGAAATGTTTCAATGATGTTGAAAGAACCCCTTAAATATTCGTTTTGGGGTTGTTTCATGATTGTGTAGAATATTTTATAACATTTCTGTCTAAAGCCTAATTTTCACAACGATTTCTATTCGTTCCATAATATTACGAATTTAACGAAAAAAAGCCCACAGACAATACGGTATATATTACTTATGTACACATTAGCTTTTTTTCTTTTTAACCCTTAGAAATTTATATTGTAAAAAAAATAGTGGCTTACTCTTTTTGATGGATGCATACATAGGCCGCTTCGTAACGACAACAACTTTTTTACAAATAACATTTTGCTCACAAGAGAAGGAGAGATTCAGGTACGAACTAGGTAAACAAGCGATCCTCCCAGCTTATTCGCCGGACAGGCTTTTGCTGGGTCGTTACCTCATCGCTACCTTTGTTGAATGTTTTGATCGCAAGGAAGCAGTCGCGTGCAGCTAAACTAGCAGTCTGCGTGGCCCACTGGGATATTTGGCATGCCTTACGACCGACGAAACAAAATCTCAACACATATCAGTAGCAGCAGGAGCATGCAATTTCAGGCACGATGGGAGCTTTACGGATCTCCTGTTTCAGTTATACTCGTGTAATGCAGTGCAGCAGTGGGTGACCGTTCGGGGTCCGGCAGGGGAGTTATCGTTGGTTTTGAGGTGGTATGAAATGTATGTAGTAGAAAGGCGGTTACCGGGAACAGATTCAGAGGGGAGAATCCGGACGAGAAAGCGGGCCAAAGACGTATAGAAAGAAGAACAGGGGGAGCCATGCGGCGATGGAATATCGGAATACACAAACAGGCGATGGAATGGAAAAAAGACAGCATAATCCTACTGAGGTCGATAGTTGCTCACGATGAAGAAACTCAGTAGTAGAAGGACGAACCGGGCACTGAAGTAACGCAGGATGCACATGATGCACTCAGTCGCTAAGGAGATGCTCCGCTTGTGCCGTCCAGAACAGGGAACAACGATGACAACTGTGAAAACTCTGATTCACAGAGAGGAAAGTTTATCGATAAAGATTGCTTCTATACTGATATGTTCCTGTCTGTCGCAAAAGAAGAATATCTAATTCTGCCTCGCTTACAATCGACCAAGGTATCACTCGTAAGGTATGGATATGAAAATGACCAATCCAGAGGGCTTTACCAGTCAGTTATTTAGAAGTAATGTCACGTGTGATGAAGCGTTTCATGATCACTAAACAATTTAGGGCTATCACGTAGGAGAGTGGACAATAGACAGCCATGTCTAGTAAGGCAAATGGTTTCAATATGAATTATACGTTATAGCACAGAGATGGCACGCTGGTCAATCTAACTCTTTTGCTTCCTTTGCTTCGCAATAGGAAGTACATTAGAGAATCAGCGAAACGGATTTTCTTGAGTATTCGAACGTGCTTTATTACAGAGCGTTAAATTAGACTTTAGGACCTCAGAATTAGAAAAAATCATACCACCCTAGTGCTTACGTACACGAATGGGAGCGTTCATCCAAGGTGTTTAGGCTATATGCACTAATCGCTTACTGTCTGCCTTTGATCAACGCGAATTTAGCTTTCATACGACTAAATAACTGTTCCCTAAGCTTCCCCGAGACAGATTCAGACTTGCTACATACGAACCTTCGGGCAACCGTCGATCTTCAAAAACCTATTAATAAACTTGTTTAGTGGTTACGTTTAAAGAAGAAGCAGAATGACATTACTGCACTGACTTGAAAAAATGGCGTCCAGAAAGAGAAGGACGAAAAAATACAAGGAACGATGTGAGATACCCGTAGCTTTTACTAACGAAGCTTCAAATGTAAAAGTTGAAGAGGCGTCTCCCTTAAAAATTCTAGGAAAGCAGCAGGTGAGACATTAGCAGATACTTCAGAAATCTGCATGTTACGATACTTTCAGGCACGTTCGTAGCGAATCAACTGAAGAATGCTGCTGGTGATCAAGATGTCGTACTACGGCCGGCGAGGAAATAGCCTCCATTTCCTTCGTTTGCTTCAGTATCACGTACCAAGCCAAATTGCATCGTATAGCTTTTCCAAGCTAGGTATTCCAAATGAAGTGGGCCGTACAGCATAATGGCCAGGTACACCTCACGATCTAATGATACGATATTGGCCATCCCTCAGGAAGGCAAGGCGAAGGGCGTTATTCGCGACGTGACAAGCAAGGTTTACGTGTGTGTTGGCTAGATCCAAGTAACTGCAATCGGCCATATGGAAACAGATACTTTTCATTGAGATGTCGTAGATATGCGA